GGAAGTTTGATTAAGTACATAAGAAAGCCCATGCTGGATCAGAGCCAAGGTCCATCTAGTTCTGCATTCTCTACACACAGTGGCAAACCAGCTTTCCACAAGGTTGCCCAAGCAGGGTGGGTGCAAGATCTCCTCCTGCCCAAGTTCCTCATCAGCTAGTGTATGCAGGCATGCCACCTGTGCTAAAGGAAGCAACAAATAGCCAGCAAGGCTAGTAGCCACTGATAGCCTTCTCTCTCATAAATCTGTCCAATTCATTTTTAAAGCCTTCCAAATTGGTGGCTATCAATCACTATCTCTTGTGGAAACAAATTCATGAAGTATACATTGAGTGAATAATTACTTCCTTTTATATGCCTTAAACCTTGCACTAATCAGATTCATGAGAAGACCCTGAGTTTGAGTGTTATGGAAGAGGGAGCAAAATGTCTCCCTCCCCATTTTTTCCATGTCATGCATTATTTTAAACATCGTGTCTCCCCTTACATGCCTTTTTCCTAAGATAAACAATCCCAGCTGCCATAGCCCCTCCTCACAGAAGAACTTCTTCAGTCCCTTGCTCATTTTTGTTGCCCTTCTTTATACTTTTTCCCACTGAATAATGTCCTTTGTCAAGTAAGGTGACTAGAAGTGAACACAATATTCCAACATGGTCACACCAAAGATTGTATAAGGGAGGTTCTATTTTCTATTCCATTCCTAAATATGCCCAGTAAGGATCCTACTACCCCAGGATTCCTTTCTTGGCCAGTCACTGCTATTCAGATACCATCAGCATATACTTGAAATTTGGATTTTTTGTCTCAGATTTCTCTTGTGTTTAATTTGTTGTGTTGCTGAGTCAATCAATTATAATGTAGTCATTATAAGGCAGCTCAGTCATACTATGTGATATTTATTTCATTTTTATACCACCCAATAGCTCAGGGGTGGCCAGACTTGCTCAACAGAAGAACCACCAATGGTAAATGCCAGATGTTTGAGAGTCACAAGACATTATCAAATATTTATTATTTATTTATTAATACCAAACATGCATTGCTACAATTAACAGGCTAATTACTGCTAGGAGACATCTTGTGAGACTCCATCTTGGCTTTGAGATGTTGAAAATTTCTGACAAAATTGCTTGACTAATCGATTAACATTCATTTCAGCTAATGCAACCCTACTCACACTTACCTAGGAGTAAGCTTGGCCGAACATAGTAGGACTTAAACTTCTGTTAAGGCACTGCTATGCTTTCAAGCCAAAATGACCACAAACCTTTCACAGTAGGGCCTTTCTGTTTCTAGAATTGAATATTAGAGAAAACTGTAATCTCAGGAACTTGGGTGCAGAAGCAGCTGTATATCTTGTCGCCAGCTGCCATGCCAGAAGCACTGGCAAGGACCCAATCCTCCCCTGGAGTGCAGCTGTTGTGCAGCCCCCTCAGCTCCAGCAGGGGCTGCACAGGAAGCAGCCCAAATTTGCACACAAGTCTCAGCCTCAATTCCACACCTTGTCTGATCAACTGCATCCCATCCTGTTCTTTCCTTTCCCTGCTCCATACTGGAGGAAAAAGGAACCTACTATGTATGCTGTAGACTTTTCTGGTGCCTCTGTAAGCTGCAAAATAAACTCAAACAGCTGCATGAGCCTTGTGAGCCTGGTTGCCCTGCAATAGCCCAAGTCTCTCTGGGCAGTTAACAAAAGTTAGAAAACATAAACAGAGGAAATGGCATATGAAACAATAGAATAAAACACTAAAACAGTATAGTCCTTTACCTTTGGGACATGAAAACCAAAGGGAGGCAGAGTGTATTAAGAAGAGACAGATTCTTGAAGAATAAATGTTCCTTTCTGTTAGAAATACATGCAAATGTAATGTCTCTGCAACTCTGACCTAACTCACTCACACTGAAGATTGCGATAGAAATTTAGGCTACACTTGACCACTACTAATTGCTGACACCAGTCTTACACTTTAGGGAACCATGTGGTAAGAGACTAAGAATTAGGTTATCACATTTTCTCTTCAGTAAGTAATGTCTGGATTTGAGTAATTTTCTAGTATATATGATTTGCAGCCAAACCTGCCTTTTGCATTCCTGAAGCATATTGCTTGCAATTTCTTATTAATTCTCATTTAAATAAATGAAACTGATTAATGAGTACCCCTTTCAGCAAGATGCCAGAAAGGCTATACAAACACACAGAAGTATGCCTTATGACTCTCTTCATGGCATTCAGCTGTTGAAAATCAAAAATTCTCTAGTCCCTGGCCATGTTCTACTTTTGACAAACATGAGCATTATGTAAGCTCTTTTAAAAAAATTGCTGAAATGCTTTCAGATGATAAAGAAGTCTCCAAAACTGTATGAAGGCCCTTTCCTTCACTAAGTGGCCAGGAGGGAGGGTTAAATAACAAACATTGCTTCCCTATTTGCAAAGTATTCTAAATCACTGGGAAAGCTATAGGGCTTTGCACTGCTTTTGGCTGACATTTATAGCTCCCAAACATATTTTCATCAGAGAACTTCCTTGTCCATTGTTATTGCCCTTTCTACCTTGACAAGGCCATTGCAAAAATGTTTACTGAGTATATGAAAGAGTTGTAGACATATAACTTATCAACGTGGCATTAGTAGTCTCTCATAACAACGTAAAACAATGAGTCATGGGAATATTTTTGATTTAGTATCTTCTAACCCCTCAGGGAATAGAAATGCCATCCAAAATGAAATCAGGGAGCCCTCCAACAGATGCAGTATTGTAATAATGGATGACTTCAACTTTCCACACATTGATGGGATAAATGTATTTTCCAGTTCTGACAGTAAGGTTAAATTTTGTGATGACCTGAATTACTGTGCCCTTGCTCAGCTGGTTGTGGAACCAACCAGAGGGGAGGAAATCCTAGATTTAGTTCTAAGTGAAATTGCCCAGAACATTAGTACAGAATGTAAATGTTGTTGGACCATTAGGAAACAGTAACACAGTGGTATCAGATTTCATATTGAGTTTGGTGGAAGATTGCAAAAGAGGTCAAACACAGTTGTATTTGACTTCAAAAGAAGAAACTTCTCAAAAATAAAGAAACTGGTAAAGAAGATGCTGAAGAGGCGAATTAAGAAGTTTAAGTTCTTCAAAGCACTTGGAGATTACTCAAGAATAAGTTTTCAGCTGTATTTTTATTTTATATTTTATTGTACTTTTATCAACTCTTTTTATGGATTGTGCAAACCTCCCAGAGAGCTTTGGCTGTGGGGCAGTATAAAATGCAATAAATAAACAAATGAGGTACAAATAATATAAATACCACAAATGAGGAAAAGTTGCACAAAGTTCAGAAAATCACCAGCATTCTCTGGATAGATCATTTTCTTGTTTACATGGACAAACTATTCTTAAATGTTATCAGAAGTTAGAGTTGTCCATAGAAATCAATGGACAAACCCAAAATATTAGGCATTGTGCATTTTTTGTACATTTCAGACTAATCCATCTCAGAACAGTTTACAGCAAGTATCCTAAATATGAATATTCTTCCCCTAGGGGCTCACAATATAAAGAAATCAAATTGTTTGAACAGTAAGGGACAAATAAAATGAAAATATCATTGAAAAAATAACATGAACCTGGGCAACAGAAATAACCAGGGCAAAAAGCCACTCTAACAGCAATGTACTGGGGTTGGCTAACCACTTCCCCATACCCCCCACCCGTGCAATGTAGCAGGTCTTTCTAACTAACAGGACAATACTATACATGTTTATTTGGAAATAAATCCAAATAAATGCAATGGAATTTTCTCCCCAGCAAGTTTAGAATTGTGGCCTTTGCTCTTATTTAATGTGAGACATCTAAAAAAATTCCAAAACAAATGCAGCTTATTACTTTTTTATTGCAGGCTGGAATGAGCTATGACTGGAAGAGAATGGCTTATCAGAGCCAGCCCTGCAGTTCACAAGGAATAGTACAGGCCAGACACAGAGTGCTTTGCAACAACCCTGCAGAGCTCTCTCATGGTATGGTGCATTGATGGTTGGGCTGAAGCTAACAGAGCATAAGAAGTCTGTAATGTTACTCATTGCTTTTATTCCCTCACTGTGGATTAGGTAGTAGTATAAAAATCCGAAGCCTAATTCATTGTTATATTCCCCATGCAAGTTGGAAGGCTGTGTCAAGAAAGTACTTTATAGCAGTCCTGTATAGTAGGCCACTGTCAGTAATGCTAATCAGAGGGACATGAGGGTGCTTTGAATTGCCAGTCAAAAATCCCTCAAACTTCTCAGACAGCAGCAAAGTTCAACCTATATTGTCCCCTCTGACCTTTGAGGTTAAAACAATTGCATGCAAAAGGTTCATGCTCTATTGACTCATATGTAGCCTAGTTGTAATTTAAAATGTTCAAAAGCCAACCAACCTATAAAATAAGCTCACGAAGTAAACCCAACTTAGAACAGAAATTACTTTCGGTTTTGGGGCTAGATTTTTTAAACCTCTTCTCCCACAAGCAAGAGCAACACACGCCCGGATTCCTTGAAATGACCCCCCCCCCCCCAAAAAAAAACCCTTAAGGACAGATCCTGAATTTCATTGTGACACAGACATTTTGGAGCCTAAGGCGATACAGCCAATAATGGCCCCTCAAGCCGCGGGGCAAGCCGCGCAAGTTATTTTGACACGCGGGGAGGAAATCGTAGCTCCACTTGTCACGGTGCCGCACAGCAGCTGTCAGGGATGGCTGCTCCCTTGAACTCGCACACCCACAGGTGTAGTGCTCGTTTGGCCAACCCAGCTGGTTAGCGAGAATGAGGAGGAAGCGGTTCTCGGGTTAAACATAAACGAGGAAACGAGAAACCCTTTCTTATAGGAGCGGGGCTATCCTAAAGGGCTTGCATCCGTCCTGCAAGTTTCATTGCTCTCTCTTGCTCTCCCCCACATCCTCCCTTTAGACCCAGTCGCGGGTCAGCTCCGCTTGCGTGTGAACGACGAGCCGCGCACTCCCGCATGTCTGCGGCGGAGGAGGGGCTCGGCGGAGGGGCGCCGCGAGAGGCGGCAGCGGGTCAGTCGCCGCCGCGTGAGAGGGGCGCGGACGGCCCTCGCGCACAGCTGCCGCCGACCCCGCCGGGGACTGACGAAAAGGCGGGCACTTTCCCGGCTGCTGAGGTGAAGCGACGACGGCCGGACGAGGAGGAAGGGGAGGGGGTCGCGCTGCTGCTGACTGAGGCGGAGGGAGACGACGCAGAGGAGGCCGAGGGAGGCAGAGGCGGCGACTCGCCCGCAGCCGCGGCGGTGCTGTCGGCCTTCTCTGCCCTGCGCTGGTGGCGGCGGCGGCGGCTCCTTTCCGTTTCGCCGTCCCCTCTGGGGACCCAGTGCTGCCCAAGTGCGCCCGCCCGGTCTTTCGTGCACTGTTGTCATGGAGGAGCCAAGATGGCGGCCCTGGCCTACACCTTGGGCAAGCGGGAAATCAACCACTACTTCAGCGTGAGGAGCGCCAAAGCGCTGGCGCTGGGTGCTGTCCTCCTGCTCGCCGTCTGCCACGCCGTCTCTCGTAGGTACCAAGGTGAGGAAGGGGCGGCGGCACGGCCCGTGGACGGCAGGGCGGTCTTGATGCGCGCGCGTGGGGGAACCATGGGAATTCCCGCCCCGGCCTGACTAGGACAGAACAGCTGGAAGGGGACTTGCGGTCTGATAGCCGAGGAATAACAGAAGGGACGTGGGTTGCCCCGAGAGCAGCCTGTGCCTCTCCTCCGGGGACCGGCGCGCTTGTCGCTGGCATAGTTGTGGCAAGCGCTTCCTTGGAGGAAGGGGCGCGCGGCGCTACCGCGGGCTCTGAGGGCAGCAGTGACATGGGGGCGAGCCCGTCGTCCTCCCTCCATGTGTTTTGGTCCAGCTCCCGGGCCGGGGCTTCCTCCCTTGCGGTGGCGCCGCCGCCGGTTATTAGGGAGAAGAGGCTGCCTGGTTGACACCTGCTCAGTTTGGCCACTCACTGTATGCACATCCTGCCCCTCGCCATGTTCGCCTCTCGTGGCTCTTGAAGGCAGCCACCTGTGATTGAGAACAAACGAAAAAGCCCCGCCCACTACCATAGGTTCGCCTCTGCAGTTGAGAGAAGCTCATGCTTATCTTCCTAAATTAAGCAATTGATGTGCAAGAGAACCACGTCTCTCTGTGTGTTTATTCATTATCCACGTAGGAGTCTGTAGCGGATACAGCGTTACAATTTACTTTCCAGCCCTCGAGGGCTGTGCGAGCTAATTAAAACTGAATGATGCGGTTGGCGGGGCGCGGGGGGGGGGGAGGGGGAATTGTAATCGTGGAACCTGACAGCTAGGCAGATCCTGGGGAAAGAAAGGAAAAAGGCCAGACCTTGTGCTAGTGTTTTAAAAGCATGGCTTTGAGAACTTAAACCAGATTAAAAGGTTAGAATCAATCACTCTCCTTATTAATACAACCACTATTATTGGCACTATTATTGGCACTGTAAATGTTTGTTTTCCAGAACAAAAGTGAGGGCAGAGATAAGGGCAAGTCTTCCTACACAATCCCTTCATCTGAGCCACAAGATCTGAATGAAGTTCCTAGCACCCCTTTATTGTATTTGCTACTTTTGTAGCTTTCCCTTCCTCTCTGTAGAAACAGGTTAGTTCTTGAAGTGTCTTGATGACGTCATCCAGTGAGTGTAATGTTTGAGAAATGAGACTGTATCTGAGTTAAAATGCATTCTAAACCAATCCTCTAGGCATTAGACTACCGACTGCCTAAAAAAAGATTTAATAGAGACCATATGGGTTTTGAACAATAGTCTTACGATCACAGGAACTTTCAGGTGTTTTTCAGTGCAAGGCGGGAGTATGGGAAAACAGAGAAACCTTGTGCTTTTCCCTATGTGCAACCTAATATTCCTTGTTCCTGTTTTTTTCCCTCTGTGATCCTTTTAGCTCCACATATGTTTTTCACTTAAGCACAGAAGTCACTGTACACTCTTGAAAGCAATGCTTTCCTCATTATTCGCCACCATGAGACTTTTGTATATGATGTGATAGAAATGCCATAAATAAATATTTACAGTATGCCTTATTAGTCAACCTACTTGAGCAAAATTTGGGGACTAGAAATTATTCTGACCTATACAATGTCTTTCTTCAGTTCTTAAAAGACACAAACACTCCTGTAACACCATAAGAGACCAAGTTTATTTTGGCATAAGCGTTCATGGATTAGAGTGCCTATTTCATCAGCTATATGAGGTCTTATCCTCAGTTAGCAGGTGAGGTGAACAGAAAATAATGTAGACATTAAAGTCAGAAGGAAATGAAATGGAAAAAATACACTTCGTGAAATTTATGTTAAAATTGAAAACTATGCAAAATAACTACAGTGACCATTTGCAGTTTTAGTCAATGATGATGGTAACACAAGCATTCTAGCTGACATGCTTATATGGAATAAAAACAAATACTGGAATTCAGCCAACTAGAATTTAACTTTTTGATAAATTGTAAATCAGTAGTGTCATGCTGGAATCTGTCTTTGAAGTTCCTTTGTTCTAGAATGCCCACTTAAAGGCATGGAGAGAGAATCTTGGGGAGTTGAAGTTTCTTTCACAAGTTTTTGTTCTGGATTTGTATCCATCTATTTTGCATATTGATTTATTTGTTTACCCTTTGCAAGACACAGGAGGATATTGCTGGCAGGTACATTAGAAGCATATATCATGTTGGAAGAACAGCAGATAATGAATGATGTGGATGATATTATTAGGTCCTTTCAGGCACAATCTTATATGTGCTTAAATTGGAAAAGGTCCCAGCGTTCCCCAGCTAGCCATGGCCAACCCTATATCTTCTCATAACTCCATCACAAATTTCCATCCATGGATCGATGTCAAGTAGAACCTGCTAGTTCTGGGAATAGTCTACTTGGTGTTAACCCTCTCTTCCAAGTTCCTCCTTAATGCTGCATGCCATAAACTTCTTTCAGAACAACATGACAGGTGAACAAAATAGCACTTCACAGATGCTTTCATGCTGTACCCACCTATGACTAAACTGTATCTCTCATCATAATGACATGAGTGATCTCCATAGAGGCTAAAGCCATACCTCAGAGCCATTCATTGAACAAAGAGACCCAGGAAATGGCCTCAGCAGCACCATTCCTTCCAGTTGATCACCGAAGAACCTGGGCAGGGGCTAGGTTTCTATCATCCAGGGTGTGAGGAGGAACATGTGACATCATAACTAGGCTGTGGATGCCAAGTCCAAATCTGCCCTCGCAGTCATTCCCTTCACAGGCAAATTCCCATTTGGTAGGCATTGGTGAAAATCCTGGTGGAAACTAAGGAAAAGAAAAAGTCAGTGTCAAACATTTTAAGAAAGGAAGCCAAGTTATCCTAGGTAAACCAATAATAAATAAATAAACTGTGTTGCTGTTGAGGCAATGCAGGACAGATCTTTCTTGGAGCTCAGAAAGATTCCAAGAGACAGAACCTGCAAGACTTGTCTCCTCAGAAGTCCGTACAAGCACCTGGGAGTTCTTTATTATTTGTTACAGATTTGGCCCATAGAGAAGGTTCTACAAACAGAAAGAAAACCTTCTTGGTTTTCACTGCCTTGAAATAGGGCAGTGGGTCCACCATATACCAGATTCTACCTGCAAAAAGTAAAGCACTGCCTGAAGAGGCAGGATGTCAGAATGGATACTCTCAGATCCATTAATGATGGCTCATGGCCTCAAGCACATCTCACATCTTCATTCAATTCGCCCACTCCTGGCTCTTGCATTCTGGCTCTCATTATTGGATCAGGTCCCCAGTGTCTTTCCTATGGATCAAGGGGGTCCAGATTACCTGTACCTGAACGGCATTCTGCTTGGCTATTTTTTGCAGATATACAGTCCCCAGGACATGAATGGCACCATGACTTTTACCTGGAACCTAAAATTTCTAGTCAACAACAAGAAGAGTCACCTTTCCTGATCGAGTTGCTGGTTCCTCTGGGGGTGGTTCTAGATATTCTCAAGAATGTAATGATGCTCTCTTCAGCCAGGCAGTCCTCAGTGACTCACTGGCTTCATATATACACTCCAAAGGGAGGGTGTACCCCCAGGTCCTGGCAAAGTTTATGGGCCTGATATCTTACACTGGAACTGCATCAGTGGACAAGGTTCCCCCAGGCAGCCCTTCTGTCTAAGGTTTTAGACAGAAATTACATTTATCCACAGTCCAGCAATTCTTATAAGGGAGTTAATCCTACTCCTTATACCAGTGGCCACAACTGGCATGCTTTGTGTGTGCAGGGGGAGGCTCCCATTTTGAATCCAGACTGTATTCCTCTGACAATGGTCTCCTGCTTCACTGGTGGAGGACAGTCTTCCAGAGCCAACAACCTAAGGAAACTTGGCCAAGGTAGAATCTCAGTGATTTGCCTTCTCTCACCTAAGAAAGACCTGGTGGGCAGCACTCTTCCAAGGCAAATGCTCAGGCAAGAATGAACTTGTACCAAGGCCCTCTGGGAGGAGACCATGAGGTTCTGTTGGGCCTGGAAGCTTCTGTATCTTAGTGGGCTGAGCTCTGCAGTGAAGAAAGCAGCAGTGTCCAACCTTTTGGCTTCTCTGGGCCACATTGGAAGAAGAAAACCTGTCTTGGGTCACACATTAAATACACAAACACTAACGAAAGCTGATAAGCAAAAGGTGTGTGTGCATAATTTTCATTATATCTACCACCACAGATAAGCAAAAAAGTCCTTTCCCTAATTATGTGGCACCCTGGTCGGAGAGTCTTTTAAAAAATCATCGAGTAGGTCCCAAGTTTGTAATCACTAATATAGAAAATGAACATAATTAAGTAATATTTATTTATTTAAAACATTTCTATGCCGCCCCCATAGCAACAAAGCCTCAGGGTGGCTCACAGCAAGACCCAAATTATACAATAAAAATATTAATAATATTTTTATTATAAAAGTGAAAAAAGAGCAACATAAAACTAGTGGGATATTTGACATTGTATTTGAGAAACTAATGCGTCAGTATCTGGTTCGATGGAAGTAGTTGCAAGTCTCAGTTAGTTCTCAAGGTGCTCATCAGATATTTTGGTTCTAATTTTACTCTTAGTGTGCTTCATTCCGGAAAATAGTTGCTCACAAATGTACGTGCTGCCAAAAAATTAAGACATAAATAAGGTGTGATTGTGAAGCTAGGGATATTTGTCTCTGAGAAAATAGGACCTATAAAAGTCCATGATCAATTTTTTACGTTAAATGTCAGATTGCAGCTCTGCGCATTCCATTTGAAAATTGGCAGGTAACATAATTATGTCAACTGAAAAGGGAGTCGCAGATATACCAGAAAAGTGATTATTTTCCCGGAAATCTTAAAATCTGTTTTCAAACTCTTGTATCAAATTGAAAAGAAAGGCTGCATATTTTTTGCTGTTCACAGGGACTGTGTTTAGCCAGTGTGTCAAAGTGTATAAAAATGTTTGCAGTGGTAGGTTAAAATATTATTGATAATGGCTGCGTTTCACTTGCCATGTCACCACAAGCACATGCAATGTGT